AAGACGTGTAAGTCTCGAGCCTTCAGAATGGCCCTCAGCTCCTTGAAGGTCGTCCGCAAAGGTTGTCAGGACTGTGAGCGGGGCTTCCCTCTGTTGGTCGCTGGGGTGAAACTCGGCCTCGGGGTGGTGTGGCTCTTCTCGTTGACAAGCGCTTGAAAACGGACTTTTGGCCCAACCACGTGTCCTCCGACTCACAGGTCCTTAGTGCTACTGTTCAGGACTGGTGGCTTACCACGTTCTATGCTCCCCCATGTGAACAGCCGACCCGCAAGGTGATGGACTTCAGGAGCTGTTCGAAGTGAAGCGTAAAGACGCGAATTCTGCGTGGCTTGCCTGTGGCGACGCCAACGAGATACCGGGAGACTCCACCATCGCTTGCGCGCTGCAGGCATATGGCGGCACTCCCTTCAGTACTGGGCTTGGCACGCGATGGAGTAGCGACAGGCGACAGGGAGATTGATTGGTTTGCTAGCAGTAGGCCTCTCGATTTTGCCTTGTCGGTGGCTGGGAGTCGTTGACTGTCAGCAAGGCTTCTTGTCTCCCTCGGTGTGTCTGGGGTTAAGCCACAGGACGTCTCTTCTGAGGACTGGAGACAGTAGTTTGATGCGGTGTGGACAGCTTCCGACGCGGTTAAGGTTTTCGATTGCCAGGTAGCTCAGGGCCCCCTGGCAGCGCAGGAAGCTTGGGATGTGTTTATGGGACTCCTTCATGACATGTTTTGCCAGGCTGTTCGCACGTGTAAGTGTGCGGGCTTTGCTGCGGGCTCTCGTACTGGTCTCCATGTCAACCGGCCCAAAGGTAGAACTCCTTGCTGGAAAAGCCGTTTCTGGGCTAGGTCGGGGAATGACAGACAGCCTGGCAGCACTACAGTAAGAGACTTGATCTCTGAGGTCTCTCGGGAGCTCCGTGTTGCCGAGCAAGCTCAGAAAACGCAGGCCTTGCAATGCTGGAGACACTCCATCTTGCATGGGCCCGCGGGTATGGGCTGGTGGCTCAGACGTCGAGAGCAGCTATGAGCAGCTTGCGGTTACTAAAGTCTCCGGTCTCGGGCACGAAGCCAGAACGCCTCGTGAATGCACGACGCTGATTGCTGACTTTTGGACTCAGTTTTGGGAAGAAGCGCAAAGCCAGGGTCCCGATGAAGCTACTATCTACGAGAGACTCACGCGGTGGGCCCTTCCGGACAGGGCGCGGCTAATACTCAGTGGGAGGCACCTAGTCTTTCGCTCCTGGTGACCGGTCGCAAGGCCACGAGCAACAGGACCGGACCACTGGTCGGGTCTGGAGCTCAAACACCTCCCTGAAGGCGCTTTGGCGACTTTCCGTCACTTGGCGTTACAGTGGGAAGAGCAGGGGTGTCTGCCCTGGACAGCTGACCCACTCTCGTCAAGTCAACCTTCCCAAGAATGCGAAGGTCCTTAACGTCGGGGATGTCAGACCAATAGCAGTGATGAGTTGTTTCTGGAGACTCTGGGGCTCTGCCTGGATGCAGACGCCTAGCATCAAACACTGGGTGAGCAGTTTCTGCCACGGAGTGTTTTGAAGCTTTTGCTGCTGACGGGTTCGCCGCTTCACTCGATTTCACGAAGTGTTACGATTGCATGAGGCCTCAGGGCACGGTGCACCTCATGAGAGCAGGTGGTTTTCCGGAAGGGTTGTGTAAGCTTTGTCAGGCTGTTTGGTGCCGTCAGAAGAGGTGGCTGGAATGGGGTGGGCATGTTGCCCAACATCCTATCGACAGTGGTCATGCCACCGCTCAGGGGTGCCCTTTTGGGCCCCTAAGCCTTCTTCTTTGGATGGGCTCCGGCCTTAGAGCTACTGCACACATGCCGGGCCCTGAAAGACTCAGCGGTCTTATCCGTGTGTACATGGATGACAGAACTTGCACTGCGAAAAGCGCCGAGCACTCAGTGCACAGGGTCCGCTCCTGGCAGACGTGGTCTGGGAGCGTGGGCCTGCTTGAGTCGGCTGCCAAAACGCGTCTGGCGTCTCTCACTGAACAGGGTCGTCGGGCTCTCAGAACTCTTTGGCCGCAGCCTGAGCAAGGTGGTGGCAGCCTCGAAGTACTGGTGGCCTCGTCACAGCCTCCAGCTGCTGATGTGCTTCCTCCCAAGCAGGAGGCCCGATTGCAGGCTGCTAAAGCGGTGGTCACTGTCCTGGGCAACCTTCGCTTGTGCTTCGAGCGTTTTCATTCCTCGGCAAGGACGTACGGTGTTTCTAAGGCCAGCTACGGCTGGCTAGCGCATCTTCCAACTGCTAAGGTCCGCTGGAACCACTGGACAGTTCTGCGCACTGGACAACGTAGCCTTAAACGTGCCAATCGGCACATCAGGGCTATCCTTCCTTGACTGTCTCGCAGCTGGAAACCTGCTTCGCTGCATTCGGCAGCTTAAAGATGCGGGAAGATTCCGCTGGCATAACGGAGGTGGCAGTCCGCTTTGCGGGCTGCGACGCCGGTTCCAGGAGCACAGCTGGACGGAGGTCTCTCCCTGGAAGTGGAGAGGAGTCACACTTGAGTGCAGTCTTGACTTCCAGACTTAGTCGACGCCTCAGATGCTTCACTCCCTTAGGCAGGGCTGGAGAGCTGATCACTGGCGTCTCTTCCAGAACTGGCCTCGTTATGAGGTTGCGGAGCTCAACGGCATTACTGCCCCTCAGTTTCTCAGAACCGACTTTGAGCGTACCAGGAAGGCCATGCAGGAGTCCCCTTCCTTCCGGTCGGTGGCTACGCTTGCCTCCACTAGTCCTGCCTGTTTCAGACCAGGAGTTCGTCAGAGCACTGCCCGCTCACACCTGTGTTGCTGGCCGGGCTGTAATGCACTTGGCTCTTGGAAACACGTTGCTTGGACGTGCCGTTGTAGGCCTGCTCATGCTCCGAGGCTTCGAGCTCATAATCTTACTCCGATTCAGCCTCGACTCGGCTGGATTAGGAAGCAATCTCGGGAGCAGGAATTTACTGTCGCCCGATGGATGGCAGAAGTCCAGGATAGAATCTGGCAGGTCTCGTTCAGACCTCCGGACAGACAGTCTGACGCTTGAAAAATCCCCTGTGAGACCCTGGTCTTTACGACGGGTTCTCGTGGCTGAGGACTGCTTAGGCTTAGGCCTCTTGCGCTTGGTCTGAGGCTTGGCTCTGCGAAAACCTTGGTCTCTTCACGACTGGTAGAGACCCAGTCTTCTTTGACTGCGTCTGTGGCTAAGGCCCGCTCAGGCACACAGTCTCTTGGGGGCCTCTCCGGCTCTCCGAGGTACACCCGGGCCCTTGTGGCTCACAGCTAAGGACCAGTGACCAGTGCTTCTCTCCTTCGTCTTCGAGGGGCGAGACCACTGGCCGCTTCTTCTTGCCGGGCACGTACTTGGTGTTCGCCAAGTCAAACTTCATCATCAACACCAAGATCAATCACTTTCCCCAGTCACACTCAAGCAGACATTCATTTGTGACGTCAAGCCTTGGGCCAGTCTTGAGCCATTGCCATTCGGCATTGTAGCATTCAGCAATGCATCATGACATTCAGGTGCGACATTGGGCTCGTGTCATTTAACCGAGAGAGAAAGAGAGAGAGGGGTACACACTTTTCGCCAACCAACGACCAAATAGCAGTAGAGGCTTCAGGGTCGAGTGGAAGGTCGGAGGCAGTGCGGGGGCAGGCTTCCGTTCGGTTTAAGGCAGGGTCAGGCAGGTAGGTTGGGTTAGTGTACAAAAGTAGCGAGGGGCACAACGTCGAAAAGGCAGAGGGGAACACTGTTTGCTTATAGCATAAACTCACCCGGGAACACTGTTTGCCGAGCCCATCCATTCCAAATAATGGATGGGGCAGTGCGGCGGGAGGACTGCTCCCGCTCCTAGTCCCTAGCAAAGCAAAGAGAGAGAGAGAGAGAGAGAGAGAGCGAGAGAGAGAGGGATTCGTAGCCACTGACCGCGATTCGGGTGCAGGGTTTCGCACCCACCCATGCGTTTCTTTTCGGGTTTGGGGTTGTGCAGCCACCCATTCCTTTAAATTTTAGGGTTCAGGGTTTCGCACTTTGAGGGTTGCGGCCGCGGCCCGCGAACGCGGCCCGCAGCCCGCGTCCTGCGGCCTGCGCCCGTGGCCACCGCAAAAAAAGGCCTTTACGCACCGAAGGTCGCACTCCCAAAAGTTGCATGTCACGGACCATCCTGCAATACGCAGAAGAAGAAACGGAAACAGTCGTTTTCCTTCATAGTTGTGGTGGCGGCAGCGGCAGCTGGCGGTGCTGGCAAGCGCAGTTCTTTGAGCAAGGGCAGTCGTAGCAGGGGGAATATTTGCGTGAGCGGCGATGTGAGCCATGAAATCGGTTCTTCGAAGTCGGAAGAGGTTTCGTGTAGTAGCGGAGGCACTGTCAGTCATGACGAGTTGCATGTGCTCAAAAACCCTCTCGTTTCGAGCCGCAGCGCAGTTATACGCAGTGTGCCTGCAAGATTTGCCGAGGTAGTGGCTGGATCTACACTTTATGGAGGAAAGCCCGTGCAGCAAAGCTCGAAGTTAGAGAAGGCTGCAGCGCGACTATAGCCTGTGGTGGATGCAATTCTGGACAAATGCGCAGGCTGCCGCCGGAGGAATACCTGTCTTGACATTGGAGGACCTCCGGAATCTGGCGATTCAGGCCCAGAGCATTCAGAGCTGTCGCCAGAGAAAATGAGTGGATGCTGTGGCAGAGGCTCCGGAAGGTCAGCCCTGAGAGCTGAGAGCGCGATGCGAGAACGAAAAGTGCACCCTCCGGTTTCGTGTCATGTGGGCATGTGGGCGCATGCGTTCTTGAAGTTGGCAACACATTGGCTGCATCATGCAGTGGTCTGGTATTTTCAATGCGGCCTCATCATGTCATGCATCATCGGCAATCAGGGTGTGGATGGGTGTGCTTCAACCGCTAACCCACTAAACCCACTACAGCAATCCAGCAGAAGCACAGATGTTTTCATCGAATCCGTGGGCTTAGTCTTTGACTTCTTAGACGACACATGGAGCTTGCAGCGCGCAAGCATGCAGGGAAGCGAGGCGAGTCAGTCATGAGTCATGCTGCACTCTCGCAGCGCCGCTGGGCTTTGGCTTTGCTTCGCAGGAGAGCTCCTCCAGCGATGCTGACTCAGTCTCGATCTTTGTTTGAAGCCCTTGCAGGGGCTTGCAGGGCCGCAGCTTCGCAACCTTCCTGTAATCCCTTGTTTGAGTGTGAGGTTGAGAACTTTGACAGATCTTCGAAGCCTCTGCGTCAACCGGCCGCTTCAAGCTCAAGAGATCTTTTGCGTGGACGTTAGTTTGCTACGTGCGCTTGAGTTGTATTCCCAGGTTGCCCGGCTGCAGAGTCACAGCAGTGACAGCGACAGCAGTGCAGAGGTCCAGCGTGCCATTGATGAGGCACAGCTCGACTAGCTCTGCAGTTTTCCAGTTCATCACGCCTCGGGGAGCAGGATACCTCCGAAAGTTCCAGCGACAGCATCTCCCAGGCATTCCAACGCGTTCTTTTGGGACGCAGCCTGCGATCCCACCAGCGACAGATCTCACTGCAATCAGTATGTACAAGCAGCCTGCTGTGCTGATCGTGTCTTCATATCTCGGAGAGAAAAGGCACACAGCCGAGCTCGAACAGCCCAATCCGCTCCGGTGTCCAAGGCTGCTGCACAGATTTTAGCCGACAGGCATGGCATCGCAATTGTTCTGTGAGTCGCAGCCACCAGTTCAGGCAAGCAGCCCGGCACGAACTGCACAGTCTCCTTCCTCGCCCCATGTAGAGGCACGAAAGAGAAGATTTAAGAAAGGGCAGCTTGTGCAGCTTGTCCCTGTGCTGGGAGTCACTGAGAGTGATGATCCAGGTAGAAAAGCGAAGTGATCGTGACAAAGAGACAGATGGTAGCCGACCTATCAAGCTGGAGAAAGCACGGGTTTCAGTGATGCCAATGAGCGCAAAGGCCCAGCACCAACGCCTCCCGAGCAGGCCTCGGGTTGGAGTCACTGCGCTGCATCTGTGATGCTTCTGGCTTCAGGTGCTCCCGTCCGACGTGCCGACTTCGCCGACGCAGAGCGCGCGGACGGTTGACGTGGCTCAAGGCCTTCATTGCAAGGACTCATCTATCTCATCTCTGGGCCCAAGTTGTATCTGCCCAGTACTCGAGGCCAAACACAGAGAGAGGCGGGACTTGCACAAGAATCCGCCGGTGCTACGTCTGCTGTGCTGCAGCTGCAGGAAGTGTCGGATGAGCCGAATGAGAGCAGGCTGGCGGGCCACAAGCCCCATCCGAGTTCGGGAAACTCACAATCCGAGTTTTCGAGTTCTTGTGGCATCAGGCCTCAAGTCGCTGGTGTGCGAGATGCTGTGCCAGACGTGGCAGAGGCAAAGGGTTCCAGAGTTCTTTCTCTGCTCTCGTCACGGCATGTGGGATATCTTCAGGAGCTGCAGAGACCGACGGCAGAAGATATCGCGAGGAGTTGCATGATGTCGTGGCGAAAACACAGCCTTGCGAAAGCAAGTGCAGGCGCCAAAGAGAGCAGCGATTGCAGACCCGTCGCCGCCGACCAAGCCACCCAAGAAATGGCACAGCAAGTCGCAAGAGTCGCAAGGTGGAAGAGGCAGCAAGGGTAGAACATGGTCGAACAGTGAGCTGGCGAGAGCTAGGCCTGGAAGCAGCTCTTTGGAATTCGCTGTCCGGCTCTTTGGCGTGCGTGCCCATGGGTAAGCGTGATGCATGGCCTGTTGAAGTGAGGTGCATGGAAGACAGGGACAAGCTTCAAAACATGCTGCAGGCCACACTCTCGAGCGATGCTAGAAGGGCTTCCAAGCTTGAAGCCACCATGCTTGTTAACTTCATCACCCCACAGGTCATTGAGGATTCCAAAAGTCAACTTCGTCGAAGTAGTGCAGAAGAAGTGGATCTGCAGTCGGTCCTGGACAACAAGGCAGCTACGTTTGTGCGTCTTGATGCCACATGCAGCACGCACAGTGACAATTACTGGACACCTCCAGTTGTAGGGTGCAAGCCGCCCTGGCTCAAGAAGCATGTGCGGATCCTGCCCTCTATTGCAGCATCGCGATCTGCATCTGCAAGCTGGTGCGGGCCTAGGAGCCTAGGGGCCTAGGGGCCCAGAGCTGTGGCAACGTCAAGGCCAAGTCCTTTTCGCGAGGCTCGGCGCAGACTTCGAGCTAGCTCACCATGCAGGCTCCGAGTTGTCGGACTTTCTCTTGTCGGCTGAGCTCCGTCGAAGGAGCCCTTGTTGCCAAAGCCCCGCAAGCAGCCCATGAGAGTGCGAATCTACGACATTCTCGAAGGGAAGGCCCTGTCTCTGAGCGGAATGCAAACTGCCAGTCTGCGTTTTTCGCCCCAGGGGCCCTACGGATCTACATATAGCTTCTTGCTGACCGCTGTGATCCTGGTCAACATCGCTTCCTTTATGCTGTCTACAGAGCCGAGCATGGCCGAGCACCAGCCGCTGTCCGAACCCCATGTTATTAGCAAACACTGCCTATATCGCCTGGAATCTATCCTTTCTTTGAGGTTTGACAGGATCGAGATGGTGACGGTGTGCATTTTCACCTTCGAGTATGCTGCGATCTTACTTGGCCTTCTGTCCTGTGCTGTCCTACTTGTCTTGCCCTAGGTTCTTCGCTTCAGCACCCGAGCAGGGTCATGTCTAGCCCGCATCACGTGGGTCGTTGCTTCCTCAGTGCCCGAATTCATGCTGGCACCTGCAGTTCAATGTGTTCGACTGACACGGCCACATGCCACACTGAGTTTACAGACTTTTTCTCCATCGTGGACCTCGTTTCAATTATGCCTTTCTATGCGATGAGCTTGGCAAGACTCTGCATGTGATAGAGGCAGCATGACCGCACGGCTACAGTTAATTGCCAAGGTGGACATTCTGATCCCAGGGCGACAGAACTACCTAGCGACGCAGTGGGTTCGAGTCGCGTGCGTCTTAGACTGCAGAGCAATGCGTGCTCCATTTAACACGCCTTCCTCCAAGGTGCGGCTCTTGCGCCTCTTACCGGCGCTGTGAGCAGCTCAGAGGTTCCCAGCATCTAACCGGTCGCACAGTGGCGGACGGGCCGACGGGCCCACTGCGTATGCATGCATCAGGTATCATGCATGACATCAGCTCGGAGTGGCTCCAGTCTTACCAGCGAAACCAGGCCGTACGATGTCATCTGGAAGAAGAGCTACAAGTTGCTGATGGCAAGTGGCTTTGCCGGGTGCACCGTCTGGGTTGCCCGTCTGCAGCCATGAATCTGGATCCAGAAGTTTCATACGTTGAACTTCATGGCTGCCTTGAGTAGATGGACTTCAGCGGCAGTGGTGCACTTCTGCAGCACTTGATTATGGCACACCTCTGGGGAAATGATGTTGATAGCATACTGGACATGCACTTGCAGCTTAACCTGTGTGCCCTGACGGTAAAGCAATGCATAGCGCGCGTCCTCGCCAAAGGTGTTAAGCATGCCTTGGCATTCTCTTGCCTTTTCAGACAGTACCGAAGCACGGCAACTTAACACTGCTGAGCTTAAGCGGTGGGAGGTGATTTGTGCAGCTTTGTACTACTGGTTCGAGAAAGACAATGCAGACATGATTTATTGTCCAGTCGCGGCCTGAGTTTCCGCGTTGTCATAAACTCCCTGCTCTGGTAGAGCCTGGATGAGGATGAAGATGGCAAGAAAGAGGGCCTTTGTTGGAACCGCTTCCACTCCATCCCTGCAGCAATGCCAGCTTTCAGCATGAAGCTAGTGGCAGCTAGTCGCTGTCATTTCTGAGCCGAGCAAGAATCACGTTCAGGTATTATTCGCTTCTGAACTTCTTCGGAGAGTTCCCGCTGGCGGACAAGCATTCACTCGGTGGAAGATTCGTGGGTGGTTTCATTCAGGTCGGGCTCTCGTGCAATCGTGTTCCTGTGATACACTTCGGGCTTGTCAGGTAATGGGAGCAGCCGTGATGGCCATTCCCGCCGGAGCACTAGGCAGTGCATTTTCCGAAGTTGTGGAGAAGGAGCTCTCTGCAAAGGAGCAGGACATTTGCCAAACCGTGACTGCTCTTGGATCGTCCAGAGCACCACTGGCAAACCATGAGAAACCCAAACAGCTCAAGCCCTTTGTCATTTATGCGGCCCTATCCGGGAGGATGCATCAGGTGGAGTAGACGCCGACGACGACGTCGCAGACGCCAGTCGCAAGGTTTTCGGCTCTGCGGTGCGAAATGCCGGTGCAAATGTTGACAAACATTGCAGGCAGAGGTTGTCCGCTGCCTTGACGGCGAGCGAGAGGCAGTCGCTGGCACAATGGGGGGGCATGCAGTTCTGGCTGCAAGCTTCCTGCAGGTGCGCACCTACCGATTAGCCGACGTGACCATTGACATGGCAGACCTTTGGTTCTCGCTGCTGGCAGCGTCCTTCAGTTGGTGCTCCTATAGCCGGTGTGCAGATCTCCTGCATTTTGCAGACGAGGCATTTCTGGTAACGACGTCATCCGCTCATTTCATACTAGGCACATTGAAATGATGCCGTCGCACTCACAGAATGGAGCAGCACTCAAGGACGGTCTCGCCTGCCGCTTGTGCAGGGACCGTGCACAACTTACCCGTGAAACTGGACGAGCCCCGACCTTTCCGGCTATGACCAACTACAATAGCTTCTGTTTGTGTTTGCCCTTGGAGTTGAGGTTGTTCTTCCTGTTGTACGCCTTCGATGTCTTAGCCACAGTGATTTTCTGTGTCGGATGCCTCAGCAAACTGGCGGCCCAGTGACATTCCTGGGGGCTTCCGGTGCTTGTAACACCCGCACCCAAGGTCGAGTACTTCTTCAGGACACCTCCTGGCCCTTAAACCGCAGTGCTTGACGTGGCAACGGGCAGTGGATGGAAGTGGCATTCCCCGCGCAGCCGCGCAGGATTTGCTCGGCCAGGGCACCTGCTCGGTACTTGCTGAGCGGTTTCGGCCTTGTCGATGGCTTGCCGACACCTCAGCGACAAGCCGGGCTAGCTAGGCTAGTGCGGGGAAGATCCGAGAGGGAGAAGGGGCTGGACTTGACCAGGAGTGCGGTGCTACCAGCTGTCAGCTATGCCCGTTCCTGAGCCGATTTGCCAGGCATGCCGTAGAATCAAAAGAGAGCTTCTTTGGAATCGAACCCTCTTCTGCAAAGGTTTATCCCCGCCCTCTGTTTCGGGCGTTCACGACTCTCAGAGTTCTCAAGCTGGACTCACAATGCCTGTGAAGCTTTGAAGCGGAGCGCGTGCTCAGCTCGCGGCCAGGAGCGGTACATCGGGGCCTTCGGCACTTTCAAAAGCATCCTCTATCAGAGCAGGCCTTTCAGCGTTTCGGTATTGAAATGTTGGGGTGCAGATGGAACGAATCAATGAGATCACTCTTGCGGTTAGCCTGCAGTTGTGCCTTGACCCGCCAGGTCCGTCCTATTTGTAACAGGAGGGGCTGCCGCCGTTCTGTGGGTGCCACACCCGTGAATGCCAGCATTGCATCCGGCGGATTTAGCTGACCAGCACTTGCACCAGTCCAGGTCATCTTTAGTACGCTGATGTACTACGCCGAGCGGTACAACCCGGACCCTGACATGGCCGGCACCTTACAGCAGAGCGCAGAGCGGGGCAACCCTTTTTAGCACCTTCTTGGGGCAATCCTAGGCCGGGCATTACTCGAGCGTCGCCACGTCCATGCAGCTCCGCTGAACGTTTTGCAGGATGGTCAAGCTGAAGTCGTTTCATCGTCCGACTAAGGTGGGTGACTCTCCTGAACCTTTCTGGGGAGGCTCCACTGTGCGAGTACACGCCGGTCTTGCCCCGAAGCCTCTTTCTCTGCTCTTTTGCAGCATGGACCAACGGAGCTGAGGTCGGGAAGTTCATTTCTGCTTTGATGGGCCGCTCAGCCCGACTCAACCCCAGCTCATATTCAGGAGGGGCACGTCTTCGTCGCAGGATTGATCGGCGTGGGCTTCGTGACGATCCCGATGGGTTTGCTTGGTTCTGGCTTTCAGGACTACCTGGAGCAGGAGGACGGTCACACCAGCTCCTCACGGCAGGTCGAGTTGTTCGAATTGTGTGAGGACGACGACGATGCTGTTGCGAAGCCAGGTGTGGGCTTTTCGCTAGCTGCCAGAGTGTGCCGAGAAGAGCGAGTTGGGCAAGGGCAAGCAAAGCCGGAGAGCGAGCAGAGCGAGCGCTCATTCCGCATCGTTCCTGGATCCAGCCAACAGTTTTCATACTCACTGGCTCGTTCGCTGCCTTGCTCGCTTTGAGGTCAGCTCGTGTACAAGTTCTTGCAAGGCTCAGCATCGAACCAGGCCGGAAGTCTTGGATGGGAGCCCGCAAGGAGAGTGCTGGTGCCCTGAAGGTGGAGGACTTGAATGCTTGGGAAGCTCGCGCGGTCTACTTTGAGCGATGCATCTTCCTGGCAATCTTCGCGCCCTGGTGCAGAGTGAGCATGCATGAAAAAGGCTGCAGTGTTACAGGGCTAGAACTTGTAGATCTGAGACTGGGTCCAAGAGTCCAAGGTCACGGTTCTTGCCGCCATCATGGAGCTTCTTGTACGGTGTTGTCTCCGCTTATTTGATACACCTTGGCGATGCTGCAGGAGACAGTGGACGGCTTTGCACCATCAGGGTCCTTGAACCGTGACGTCTGGGGCTTGCCTCGAGGGCCAGAGTTGCAGTGTCGAGTAGAGTGACGCGACGCAGAGTGCCGAGGCATTGAACTTCATTGAGATAACGGCCACACTTCTCTTCACAGTGGAGTACGGCCTGCGATATTACACGGCGCCGGAGGCCCGCTCGTGTCTTGTATGATAGCATTGGGAAGGGAAACCATTGGAGAGCGACTGCAGTGTCTTATTCAGTTCTTATTGGAGGTGCCGTATTGGGCAGAGCAGGGATACGTCGGCACCTGATTAGATTCGCACCTCCTCAGCTGCGAAATTCGTGATGCTTTGACAAAGCTGCAGGTGAGTGACAATGCGGCCAGATTCGGATTTGTAACCTCGCTCCCGGCATTGATAGATCTGACGGCAATTGCAGTCTCCTCAAAACGGATCGTGTAAACGCTGACCGCATAATCATATGTACTTCTGCAAATTCGACGAGGCCCCCTATTACCTTGCTCTTTGCGGATCGTCTGTGGCAGACCGTTATGACGGAGAGCTGCGAACCCCGGCTGAGCAGCGTCCGCCTCCCCCCAATTTTACATCCTGAAGCGGTCCGAGGAATGTTGCGAATTTTCCGTCTGCCCTGCTCTCGAGTCGGGCTGCGAGTCGTGTACTGGAGTTCTTCCATGGCTCTGGTCTGAGGTTGACGTTGGACAAGTACATTCCTTCCGTGCCTGGCACTCATATGTGGGATCAGGTAGTGGAGAGTGCACACGGTGGATGACAAGGCATTCCGAAAGCTTGCTCTGGTATTCCTGACGGTGTCTGCAGCCGCGGATGCATCCCGTTGTGCACAAGCTGAGGTCCCTCATCGGCCGTGTGTTCCGGAAGCATTCCAAGGACACTCCCTTGCACTGGCCAGAGCTACCGGAGGTGTGTCGATTTTCACCATGCGCTTGGGCTGACAGCATAGGAGTTTCAGCTGGCCGCTTATGCCGCTGCGGCGTCGCCCACTCAGAGACCCCAAGCTCAGCAGCGACCAAGGGTTCAGAAGCATCGAGGATTTGGCTGATCTTCTCTGCCCTAATGTGGCTCACCGAGCGGCATGACCCGACACAGGCATGAAGAATTGTGTGGACAGCCATTGGTCATCTCCAGCAGAGGATAGTTTCCAGGTTGACGACCTGACAATGGCACAGCGATATGGCAGCATGCCAGAAGCCATGTCGGGCTCTCATGTTGTTGGATCCGTGCCATGCCAAGTCGCATCGGTTGTGTGATACCCGGTTAGTGGGCCTTTTCGGTGGCTCCTTTCAGGCCGTACACACTGGTCCACCTGACAGGTGCGTTCCTTAGTAGAAGCTCGGCAATGGCCGTGACAAGAAGTAGCTTTGCAGGAGACTATCCGCTGATCGATTACGATTTCCCTGCCAAATGCGTTCTGTTTGTTGCCTTGCTCTTCGCAGTCGGGGCCAGCCCCCAAGTGTCCCCACATGCTTTCAATCAGGAAGCGGCAAGGGAAAGATTGATGTCCTTGAGGTTGTAGCAGTTCCAACAGGCTTGCTGGCATCGGGCTTTGCGCAGGACAGTTTGGCACCTGAACCACATGCTGGTACTTGTAGCGGTTTGTAGCAGAGCCGGAACCGGCCGTCCACTTTACAGGAGCTTACGAAGTACCGCGAAGAGCAGAGACGGCTGAGAGAAGAAGCTGCCACAAAAATCGAGAAGGCAAGAAGCACGCGCCATGTCTGCGTGCGGCCAGCACTCCGGCACTCCGTATGGCAAAGGCACTTCGACAGTACATTCGAAGACGCCGTCTTCGGCAGGTCGCTACCCGCGTCCAGGCTGTGGCGGCCGTGGCGATTTCACAGCCCATCTGTGGCCCCTGCAAAGGCGCAGAAGACAGTGTTGCGCGAGTTGAAAGACAAGGCTTTCAAGGATAACTGCTTGGTCCAAATGCATGTGAGCTTGCAAAGTGCGCATGATCCTTCCTACGGCTCCCATGCTTAAGAGAGCACTGAGCAAGGACAACCCTTACAAGCTGCATATGGTGAAATTCCTGGAGCAGAAGACGACCGCCGGCCGTTTGTGCAAGAAGGCATTAGTCCTGAGTTTACCTCGACTGTGCAGCCTACCCGACTGCTCACCTCAGGTGATGTTCCTCCTGATCATTCTCAACGTGTTGGCTGTGATTGCCGAGAGCATGTCTTGGGTGAAAGAGGTAGCCTGTCCTCGATCTCGCATCGCCGCACGTCTGCCTGCAGACTTACAGAATCTCACAGGCAGCAGGAAGCTATGTCCTCAATGGTTTCGAGCTCTTCAGCGTGCTGGTCTTCACCTTTGAGTATTCAGCGAATGTTTGGAGCGCGCCCGCGAACAGCAGGCCGAAGTTCCAGTCCACAGAGCACGCCGAAGCTGAAGCACCAAGTTTAGGCGGTCTAAATTAACTCACTATACCTTTCATTCCGATGCCCCAACTAGACATGAGTGGCTTGTTCCTACTTCTGGGTCGAATCTGAGGTCCCGGTGCTAGGTCCCACCTGTGTGTTGTCGAAAGTAGCCCGACGGCTGGAGAAGTTCCTCTCCGTGCGTGGCCACGGATTTCCGATCTCGCAAAACGTTGGATATATGTATGCGTGACCAAAACGGACAGACATCAAGAACATCATTTGCTTGACACCCTCCCGCAAGAAGAATCAGGGGGCGCAGCCGTGGCATGTGAAGCCATATGGACCCTTTCGTGCTGCGTTGCTTTCTGAGTGTTGGGTTTTGTTGCTGTGGAAACAGACCTGGAGTCGTATGAATGAAGGCTTGAGCTCTTCGTGTCGCGTTGCATTTCTGCATTTGTGTTTGTCTTCATGTCCTCCACGGGTGTTTTGCAAAAAGCTTTGATGATCAGCCACGCTGTGCCAGTCATGTGTCAACTGACGAAAACTGGATCCCACATTGACTCGCCTGCAGGTACATGTTTTGCCGTTGCTCCCCCAGCTCAGATTGTTGTCTTCGCATATGTTGTGCGGGCTGGTGATGCAAGCCGACGTCGTTCATGCGATGTGCTTCCAAGGCAGGAACTATATCTGCTCTTTCTTCGGTATTGTTGATCTTGTGACTGTCGCGCCGTTTTGGATACAGCACCACGGCTGCATGCGCATTCGGGTCAGAGTTGTGCTTTGACTTCTTCAGCAGCCAATGTGTGGCCCATTCTCTCCATCCAGGACGGTGATGTGGCTCAGTGGGTTGCAGGCTGTGCTTGCAAATCGCCCCTGCTGTGTCCTGCATGCATCACCCACCCTCCTGGTGATCACCCTGAAAGTTCAACGCGTTCATCTTCCGCATCGCCCGTCTACTTCGCATTCTCCAGCTGGAAGATTTCGTCGAGAGTTTCACGCTGCTGGACGATGCCTGGCGCAGCTGCAGAGAAACGATGGTTGCCACCGGGTCAGCCCCTGACAAGCTTGCACAGAAAAAAGATGGCAGTCGACTGTGGAAGTACAGCATGCGATTTGATTCCAGGTTCATGGCGCTACTAGTGTGGATATGTGGTGCGGTGCTCTTCTATGAGTTCGAGCAGGCACATGCCTCCTTCAGTCGTCGCTTCAGGGAACGAGCCTGGAATGAAGGACAATCCTGCAATGGATGGTGCCTTCAAGGACACCGTGGGTCTCCGGGTCTGCTGGTCTTCCGTGAGGGGTACGTAGCCTTTAATGCGGCAGTGACAGCCATTGAAGGATCTTCCGTCCAGCATGTGCGCCCCCTGGTCTTCCGCGCACCACTACGTGGCATGTGTTGTTGCCGGGATCAGGAGTTTGACGAAGAGCCAACCCGAGGTATTTCACCATCATCTTCTTGGGCGGGGAATGGGCGATGATCGATTTTACATCAGGCGCACATGCTTATCGCAAGAGGATGTTCAATACTCTAAACCTGCTCCAGGTGGAAAGATTGTCTGTTTAGTCTACTGTGCGCAGTTCTCGGCTTTCTTGTGGTGAGACATGGGGCATTAAGCCGCTGCCATGTTCGGAAGCCTAGCCTGAAGTCCCAGGTTGTTGGTATCGGGCTACTTGGCAGCCAGCCTTCACATGCCAGTTCAATGGCACTGATGCGCTGCAGTCGTGTAGGGTGCCAAACTTCAACTCTCCTGCAGGCTGTATGGCATCCCTATTGGTGCTGTGTTCGAGGCATTCAGCGACGTCCTAGCAGCTGTGGACTCAAGACGCCCAACTCCTTTGAGAACAACACGATGCTGCACCACCAAGGACAAGGAGGACGAACAGGACGAGTCTGCAGAGGCATGAATGGTCGCGGAAGCGCTCCAGCACCGTCGACTTGGTCCTGAGTGAGTTCAAAGATAACTTGCACGTCTCACTCACGTTTCAATTTTCCAATTGACAGAGAGAGAGTTTCGGAGAGAGCAAGAGAGCTTTTGCACTCCATCTAGCCAACTACAACATGTGCTAAGTTCCAAACTCATGTTCGACAGTGGTGAAGACATATATAGGTCTGCTTCCCAACCGCCCTCAATTGTGCATGGTCGGAGAAGCCATCGATTCAGATTGCTTGAAAATTAAGAGCGTCCTGCTCGTTTGTTGACGAGTCCGGGTGCTCCTGCAGAGACTGAGCCAATTTCTGCCATCAGATGTCAACCAGGACCCAGCATGTCAAGACTTGCGCCGCCGACTGGAGAAAGCTGAGCAAGAGGCAAGGCATGGCCGCATGGCAAGCTTCAAAGATTTGGCTGGAACCACCCGAAAGCAGGCTCGGCTGGCAAGAGAGCGGGAGTTGCCTTCTCAGTTGCCAGTACAGCCTTGCTTGAAAATGCGGAGATCCTGGTCCATGCATGCCGAACTATGCAGAGCCCAAAGACCCGACGTTGCAGGCTCATGTTTCTCACCCTGGATTTGTTCCTAGCCACGGTTGGAGATCCGCTGCTGCACCCAATGCAGTCAAAAGCAGCAAACTGGCTAGGCGGCAACAGCCTATGGGATCAGCTGGGACGAAGCGAGTCTCAAGCAATGAGCGGATCGTGCAGAAGGCCTCGCGCACTCAGCAGGTAGCGAGTTATCGACAATGGCCCTCCGCTGAGGAACGGCCTCAAAGCGTAAAGCGACTGGAGGAGCATTTTGATGTCACAAAGGCAAGAGAAGGCAGCGACCCAAACATTAGCAACGAAGAGAGGCAACTCGACAGGAAGCATAACTACTGAAATACCTGCAGGGTGCCACAAGGAGAGAGCTTATCGCCGAATTTGCAAAGCTGCAGCCGCAAGAAACCTGCGAGACTTGGACTGAGGCTGGCTGAGGGCCGATTTTCGAGATATCATGTCTTCGCAACACACGGCCCAAATTCTGCAACACTGTGGTGGACATCTGCGGAGCTTCCCCGCTTCGTCACACCTTCAGCCTGTGCTTCCCACCATCGAGAAGATAGAAGATGCAGAAGCAAAGGACTCCAAGGTGTCAACCTGGAAATCGCAAAGGACCCAACGAGATGCGAGCAAGGCGTTGAATAGGACCAAAGGACCTGCGAGCACCGCCCAGGCTGCGCAGCATTGACCAGATCACTCGCTGGGACTCTTCCGTTTTTTCATGTCGACATGTCCAGGGCCGATTTATGAATTTCTCTTGTCATTCTGTCTGCCCGTCGTGCAGGACAGCAAGAGGCTGCACTGTGAAGAGGCATGTCTCGCGATATTTTTTGCCCACACCCGAGCGCCTTCCACATGCATCACTGTGTGGCTCAGAGGCCAGCGAGGGTGCAGCGACCCGAGCAGTGGATGCGGCGATCTAGCTGTGCTACCAGTCTTGATTGAAGACTCCACCAGCTCAAAGGTGGAGTTGTTACGACTGTCCCTGGACAACGTGAAGGCAAGCAGTCGTGAAAAGTGTCGTGACGATCCACGACACATTGGAGATCGTAGATGATCCTTGCATGCGCAGAGGCTGAGCTAAAGCGGCTGGAGCATGAAGCCTGCATCTCTTTAGGGTTCGACGGAAGTCTTTCCTGGATTCCGAAGCAGTCCTCCATTTCGCATCCGACTGAGGCAGAGCCAGGGCGCTCCTGGCTTCACAGTCTTCGTGAAAGGCAGATGGCAAGTCAGGACTGCTTGAGGTTTTCTTAAATTCAGAAGTCAGAGCCAAGACACCTTGGCAGGAAAATGCCAGACTCAGTGCATCTCGATTGACAACTTTGAAGGCCGGACCGCGTGACGGTGCGTGAGCAGGAAGCTTCTTTGAATGCAAGGCTCAGTATCCGCAGAGAGCCGGGCACTAACTGGGCGTCTTTCTGAATGTCGCGGTCGTTTACGACTAGTCCCTGATGAGGTCGCAGAGCTGAAGGCATCGCAGGCTGCAATGGCATGTTTGCGCTTGAAGATGAACGATGTGACATCTCCGCTCCGCGTCGAGAACATGCAGCGCCAGGTGCAAGAAATGGCAGACCTACGCAGTTCGCAGGCTGAGGCGGCCCTTTGCCCTGCCCGGCACGCAGAGACATTTGCCTGCTGCCATCAGTGTTGCGAGGAGCTTCTGAAGCTGGAAGTTGATTGGACGACACAGGCCATGCCCAGCGGCTTGCAGACGTGCTGGCCTGAAGCTCGTCCCAGGTCAGTAACGGGTACAACGTAACAGAAGCTTACAGATTGCAGGCCCCCCGACAACACTCCATACGGAGCTTGTAGAATGTAGATGTAGAAGCATGTAGAGGCGAGGGTTCGGAGGCTATTCGTACAGGTTCGGCCCGAGTGCAAGAGCTGCATAAATCGTTTTCTCAGTGCCCTCCACCACGTGCCCACCTGCGTGCGGCGAAGTGAGATTGAGAGTTCCTCGTTCTTGGGATCCTTGGAGGTGATCTTTGCCATGGAATTGAGTCCAACATGCGCTCTTAGGTAAGGCGGAACAACGATGGCCTTTTTGTGGGCACTTCTTTGCCTGCTAGGCCAATTGACCAATCTCTGCTACTCAACGAAGCCTCTACCCTCAAGTCAGGATGAATTCTTCGACTTGCTTCCGATCGAGTACCCTTTCCACGCACCACAGGTTGGGATTGACCCTGTGGCAGGACGCCTTCTGGCAGCTTGTGGCAGTGTTCAGAATCTGGCAGCTCTGGCCATCGCCGCATCACAACTTCACAGTTTCAACGTCAGGCCCGATGGCTCCTATGATCTGACAGTGCCCCAATTCGATCTGGATCTGGAGAGTGCAGAAGTGTCTGAGCTTCTGGGGACGTGCCGGCAGCTGTTCGACGACTATGCCCAGCTGGCAGCCTTAGAATTCGAGGCAAAGCTCTGGTGCACAGGTGGAAATTGTGCTGCTCACCCCGTGGCAGTCCTGCGAAAATCAACAGATCTCTGCCAAACTCCGTGCCGTGGTCACCACGACGGCATGAATCGTCTGACAATTTCCGATGTCGCCGAACGCTCTGCTGCCCGCATGTGTTCTATCGTCGCGAGCTTCTGCCGATCTCTTCAAGAGAGCCAAGCCGGGGTGAACGGCATTGCTGGCTTTGCTATGCAAGCTGCAGCTGAGATTCGCATATTTCTGGATCATGCCTTCCATGTTCTTTCGTTCTTGCCTGTAGGTCTTCCTGGCTTGCAACCCGTCTCGGAGTTATTGGAGCACGGCTCCCCGGCTTTTCGGCATGTCCCAGTCGCCGGCTTGCGTTGGGATGTCCTCCAGCACATTCTGGCAAGTTTCGGCACGGCAGACCGTTCGAGAGGCCTTCGTGTAGCTGAAATAGGGGTCGAGAAGGGCATGACCGTCACTTTCTTGATGAAGTACGAGCCAGCCATCGTGGACTATTACCTGGTGGATCCCTGGCATGTCCCAGGCAAGAGTCAGGAAAGCAATGACGTGCTCCAGTCGTACTATGAGAACCTTGAAGCCTGGTCCAGTGAGGAGCCGGCTTTCCAGCGCAATGGCCGCAAGGCTGCCCACATCCTGCGCCTGAGTTCAGAGGAAGCAGCAGGCCAGCTTGGCACCGACTACTTTGACCTCGTCTTCATTGATGCAGAACATACCTTTGAAGCTGTCCGCCGAGATATTCAGGTTTGGAAGCGTCGAGTGCGACCGGGTGGTATCCTAGCAGGTCATGACTTTTCCTTATTTCACCCTGCCGTTTCTTTGGCTGTTCTGGTTGAGTGTGGACCGCTCAGCGATGATACTGGCCGCTTCCCGCTTCAGTCGGAACTGGACAAACCCATCATCCACCTGTCTGCAGATTCTGTGTGGTGGGTGCGGAGAGCTTGAGCCACTGACAGCCGGCAAACGAAGCGGCTGTGGCCTTTGCCCAGCTTTCGGCCGATGTCATCTTGCAGGCGACCAGAGGCCAGAGGCTTCACATTGACTCCCTGGGATCCAAGTTGCTTCGAGGCATAAGCCGTCGAAGCATCAGGTTATTCAACCAGTGGTTCAACCGCGTTCATCCGCGGTCACAGGAACGGGTCACACCAGTACCTTGCGAAACCTTCATACTTCTTGACAAGGCGTGCAACCAGTGCACTCCCCTTAGCCTACCATTCATACGGTAGGTAGAGACGGTAGAGACCAGTACAACTCGAAACAAATTTGCGCAAAGTCCGCTGGGATGTGGCTCATGAGAAAGGTTTTGACGTACATCAACCCTGCGCCGCCGTGTTTGCAGCCATTGGTTTAATGCATCATTGGCCTTATTCTTTACTTGTTTTTTCACGGCCTCCGCTGGAATTGGTATCTCCTTCCCCGCATGCATGGGGCTTGACGGCTTTGTGGGAGGGGGTGACATGGTGTCGCCGGGTGGTGTTCTGCCATTAAGCCAGATGACTTTTTCAATGGTTAGTTGGTGCAACAGACGTGCTGGGCTTCGTGTACAGGGTCTGCAGCATCGCTCCGGGGTAGGCGGGGACGGGGTAGGCTTCCGTCAGGCGCTTGACATGTTTCAATGTTCACAGTCGCTCGGGGCACCTTGGGATGTTGCCCAAAACTTCGTAGGTTGTCTCAGTCTTGAGAACGCCGCCCGAACCCGAAGCCTCGCCTGGTCCTGCCGAGCTGCGACTGCGACTGCCAGAAGCTTTTGCAGGTGTCCGACATGAAGTCCAATCATTCCGAGGATGTGCGCAGCCGGACACTCACAATGCGTGTTGCTCGCTGCCGTCAGCTGATCCTAGGGGGAACGGAAGTGGAGAACCGGGGGAGACGAGAGGAGCCAGCTTGATGCCTTTGACGGGTGCCAGGCTTGAAGCAGAGCTTGGAGGAGACGACACGCCGTTCTCAGAGGCCTTGGGGACACCAAATTTTCTGCGTGGATGCCACAGCTGCCGCCCGAGGATGACTCGCGATCGGGATGATGCACGTGAGCAAGCTGTTGCGAGACAGCGAGAGGCTGTGGCAGCTGCCTGTGCGCAAGTTACCTGTCGGGGCGGACAAGAGATCGCCACCTGAACCAGTTGCTTGTTACGTAATTAGATCACACATGTATGTATGTATGTATGTATGTATATATAATATAATATAATATGGGCCATACAGGTTATACTTCCAGGAGGTAGATGATGATTTGCGATGGAGTTTGTTCTGGCTCCTGCAGGGCTCGCGTCTTCAGCAACAGTGCACGTGGCTTAGTCCTGTCGAGAGGGCGGCAGCTGGCCGCTGCTGGCCTTGTTACAAAGCATGGTGCCACAAATGACCCAAAGGTGCTGACGCCCGCCACGAGGTTCGGCTTGCCGAAGCTGGTCGCATGTAGTTAAGTCGGTGCTGCAGCATAGCCGAGGTGCTCGAGATGTCGGCTCAGGTTCGCCTGATGCATCCGGTGGTCCCCTCGGGAATTTCGAGTGCAAAAGTAATCACAAAAAAGCTGCTCAGAGTCTTGCAGAGCACTCGTTCTGTTGAGGCAGGGCCAGGACAGGGTTTGACAAGATCCTTTTCTGCTCGGCCCACAGCCCACAGAGCCGGGTTCAGGGCACAAGGCACCGCACATGAGTGCCTCGAGTCTGAGGCTTCCTTTCTCGATTCTCCGCTCCTTTCCATCAAGGCCCTCCGCCCTTTCTGTGCGAGCTCTCAGCTTTGATCAAGTGAGCAGGATGCCCAGTGCACAGATGCCGAGATGCTCGACCTCAGGTACCGCTCATGGTGACATTTTGTAAACAAAGCGTTTGTCTTTGAGTCTTTGTCACTTCTTTGGCATAGGTTGGCCATTCAAGCATCCTTCAATCTCGCTGGCGTCTTCTGGTTCTGATGAGGTGTACATATCCGGCATTTGTAATCGCCAAGATCAAGCTTTCAGAGGTTTGCGAGCGGAGCTGAAGTCCCTTCCGGTTTGGAGGTGACGGGACGGCCAAAGTTGCGCCAAGGTTTCCAGGAATTCTGCATCAACTGAGATCTAATGGAGGGTTGACGCTGGCTCGCAGCGCATCAAACCCGGGCTTTTTTGCAACCTTGACCCGTCTATGCATATCTATTGCACGGGCCTGTTGTTCTCAATTGCACGGATGCAGCTCGCATACCACCGTCGCGAGCACTCCTGCAACAGCATCACACTTTCTTAAATAGGGCCCGACCCCATGGGAAGGTGGGGAAGAGGGCAGCTTGTGTGTGTGCAACGCCAAAGAGCAGCTTCATTCAAGGTCAACTGAAGTTCACGACTAATCCCGGCAGAAGACCCTAGTGTCCATGTGGAATGCGACTCCTGCCAAGCTCTGCCAGGCAAAGATGCAAGGAATTGGAGCGGCAGTGTACCAGGCGCTGCATGCCACATGCACGCATACATTCGCTCGCACACACACACACACACACTCAAAAATACACGCACACACACACACACACACACATTCTTAAACATGCACGCACACGCAGGGCTACATCTGTATCTATATCTGTCATGTCTTTATCTATACATTCATGAGCTCATATATTTAATTGTATAGTACATTTTCCACTTTTGTTTATATGTGCATTCCTGCATATCTGTTTAGCTATACATCGTTCTTTGTTTATGCCTAGATAGCTTCTCTTATATTGGTCTTTTTGCTCACATATCCGTATACCTAGAACAGGTGCCTGATTGTCAGCTCCGACCCGTCGAAGTACTGCGAACCCGAGACCTCGTCTGGCTTGTCCGAGTTGCGAGAGCGTATATATTTGTTTATCTATATATCGGTATATCTGCTTATCTACCTATATGTCTATATGTCGGTATATCTATACATCTCTATGTCTCTGTATCTGTAAACTGTATATCTGTATATCTACATGTCTTCATACCTGCATATCATTGCATATCTATATATCTATACGTTTGTACATGTGTTTGTATCTTTGCCCTTTATACCTATGCACATGTTTCCTATTGGTCTTTCTACCTACATACCTATAATATATCTGTATACCTGTTTATCTGCCTGTATATCTGTATATCTATCTATATACACATATGTATCTCTATGTCTCTATATCTGTATACCTAGATTTCTATCACCTGAGTCCGTGTGTGAGAGATAGAGTCGAGGTCTGTGTATCCATATGTCTATATATCTGTATACCTACATGTCTATGTGTACATACACACACACACATATATATATATATATGTATATGTTTTCTGTATCTGCATCTGTATCTACTTCTTTGTCCTAATCTCTTCCTATATCTCTGTCTGTTTGTGTATGTGTTAGTATTTGCAGCTGTATCCATATCGGTGTTTGTCTTTGCATGCATGCATGCAGGCTTGGACGGATCTATGAAGGGACGGACGGACGGATGGACGGATGGACGGATGGACTGACGGAAGACCGAATGGATGTACTATGTATGCACGCGTGCTCATTTCCTTGTTTGCGTGTCTGTATGGAGTCATGGTTGTAAGTCAATAAGCATATCTGCGTGCTCATGTGCTATACGTATGTACGGATGTACGGGTGTATGATGTCTGTCTGTACTGTATGTCTGTGTGACTGTATGTGTGTATGTACGGTTATGTACGCACAAAGGTATGTATGCATGTATGTATCTGTGTATGTATGTGTGTATGTAGTGCGTGGAACGATGTGGAGAGTTGTATAGTCACGACTGTGCGTGTTTCAATGTGAACACGCTTGCACTTGCCTGATGTTGTGCTAGTTTCCCCAAACCTCGTCTGACTTGTCGAGCACGAGTGATAAAAACATGTGTGTATGTGCATTTACGCATACAGGGAGAGTATACAGGCAAATCGCACGATTCCTCATGTGTCCATTCGTTCAGGATGCACAGCCTGCTGGAGAGAGGACAAGAGGTCGGAGGATCGTGTCTGTACGGGTGCTTGACGAAGTCTGACAATGTATGGCTCCGATCATCATGCATCCGTCCTTGTCCAGCTGAGGGTGTCGGCAAAATATCGGCTTCAGACCCTGTGCAGGCCTGTGAGCGGTGGCGCCGTCAGGGGATAAGTTTGGATCCAAGTTTGCCTTCCGAGGACTGCAGCAGCGGTATAATGTGTGCCAAGTGGAGAGCCGCGAGGGCAACCCAAACTCTCATCTGAGGGTTAGCACTTGAGGTGCAGCTGCTGCCGGCATAGACAGTGCCGACGATGCTGGCGGGCGGCCTGAGCCTTTTGCGCCAGTGCCTCGTCATCCGCCATCACGAACGCAGCGGGCCGGTTCAACACATGAAAGCGCGAGGCTTGGACCGCAGGATTCCATGGAACCAGCCAGGACCGGAGCTCACGATCTTCGTGTCAGCCAGTCAGTCAACCTAAGATTTTGCGTAACTTTCGTTGACCAGGACTGAAGGTCCTGCTGTCCTGGAGTGGGCCCGTGAGGATAACGTATCGTCAATTGGCACTTTCCTGCTGCCGAAAGACTGCACATCTCGAGATTATCTCGCAAATTGCAGCCATCCGCCTTCTGCACGTTGTTTTTCCATGCATGCCGCCGCTGTGCAAGCTTGGTCCACAGCGAGGGTTAGGTATAACGGGTGGATCAGGTTTCGACATGCCCCCGAGAAACTTCATGCAGTAGCATTACCTAAGCTCTTGGGCGTCTGTTTGACAGCACATGGGCCTCACATGCCGACTGCCGAGCCTCGCTCCTCGTTGTGGCCAGCTGGAGCCACCTGCTTAGCCGCCGCCGCGGCAAGATTTCCCGATGATGCGTGATGTTCGATAATATTTTATGCTCGGCCGAGGTCGTGCCACTTGTTGGTGCACCGCCCTCAACACAGTAGGAAGCTGCGGCAATTGGATGGTCAGCTGGCGCATAGCTATGAAAACAATTCTGACAGCCCAAGATACCACGAGACATGGCATGACTGTCGCTGTCCAGTTGTCAGTGCAGAATCATGTCGTAGACACTTGCCTTGTGCGAGTTCGAGCCTTTGCTGTCGAGTCGTACCGAACCCATTCCAGCCTGTTTACGATTTTTGTGCAGCTTCGAGCTGTGACATTTAGTTTAAACCCCAAACCCCGCACTTTCATTGATCTCTCGAAGCGTGCCCTGATATGCAAAAGGACGGGACCGGGGTGCCGTGGGCAGGGAATGCGGCATGATGATGGGGAAGGGCGGACAGAGAATTCCCAGGCTGATGCAGAGGAAGATCGAATCGAGTTAGAGGCTGGCGATCCAGAACTGTCAAGGGAAAATGTGGGGGGCTCGGCAGATTTGTCATCTTTGGTGAGGCATGGTGTCGAAGATTCTTCGAAGAGCTTGTGGCTTACCGAAGCTTACTTGAGCGTCAGTCATCCCGCAAGCCGTCACGGCATTCCTATTCAGAGTGCCGAGGTGTGAAGCCAGTGCTGCTGGCTCTGAGTACGGAGGGTTTCCATCTTACGATTTCATTACGTTTGGCTCTTGTTGCGATATTTGTATACTGTACAGGTGTTTTGATGGAAGCAGTTGAGCTTTGCAGTGTCAACCAGGTCAGATGCCGAGTCGCTCTTGAGCAACGCGCCGGCTCCACAAGACGGCCAAGCTGGAGCCGAGTGCGTTTCCAAAGCCACAAGCATCAGGCCTTCCACCACGACGAAGGCCGAGCACCACGGTGCACGCCGCCTGGCACCAAGCGAACCTTTGTGGTAATATTTGTCAGCTTTGTCATTCTTGTTTATCAGGTCGCCGATGGAAGGCTGTAGCAGTTGCAGCTGCGTTATTCATGGCAGCATGCCCGGACGGTTGTAACAGTACCATGAACAGCAAATCCGAGACTCGGGCAGAAGCTGGCAAACGAGGTAGCGCTGCTCGTGGCTTGGATGGTTTGGAAGCAAGGAGGCGCAGGATTCAGACTTTAAGTTGAGCTCATATATTTCATATTTCCATTCTTTCGTGCTTTGGTGCAGGTGTGTCGAAGCACATGTCCCAGGCACACTTTGGCCCCGCTTGAGTTCAACAGCAAGCAGAGACCACTGAGATCCAGGCAAAAGAGCAGATCCATGCAACTCCGGAATTGCAAGACTCTTTCGAAAATTGGCTGGAAACTCAGACTACTTGCAGATGCTATTTTGCTGCCCGTTTGTTACCAGCCTTCTTGACAGCAAGCTCTTCGAACTCAGAGCAATCGTTTAATCGTTTTGCGTTTGCAGTTAGTTGCAGTACACTTTGTCGTAGGTTATCCAATGCATTTCAGAATGTTCAACTACATCACGTTCTGCTGCGTGGACTGCGGCTGACGTACATCCTGCCCGAGGCTGATAGCATGCGCATCGATGATTGTAATCGCTAGGAGTTGAGTTTCAAGCATGATGCTGCATCCTGAAACTGTAGCTGTTGTTTCCACCATCGAATAAGCTTCGCAGCTTTGCTTCCCTTCTTCTATTCTGTTGAAGAGCTGTTCGCGCATTCGGCGTTCTGAACGCGACAGCGCACATGTCATGTTGGCAGCCAGCTGCCTGTCCGTTTGCTGCAAGTAGCAAGTTATCCACACACACACACAAACACACTTGTCGAGGTTCGTTCAACCTCGTCGGCCAGAGTCAACCTCAGCAACGACGACACCATCATCATCTGTGCAGCAGCAGCAGCATCAAGAGTCCACCAAGCCAAGCACACAGATGCCCACGACCGTTGGAGGCACGGATGTGGTTGTCATCTTGCATTACTATATCTTCTCGTTGCTGTTCGCTGTCCCATTGTCCGGCTCTGTTTGTTTCGAGTTTCGTCACACCTTCGATCTTGAATCATGTTCAGGTGTAACTTCTGCAGCGGCCACCACTGATACAACTACTTTCTTGACATCTACAACTGCACCCGAAGTTTGCGCTGAACTGGGAGAAGGCCTTGGAGAAAGAGGCGTCAAGTGGCAGACGTCTTTGTGGTCTCCGCATTGGCTTACTCGAGACGAGGTCGTTTTCCCGCGGTGCCTGCTGGCGACAAATATGTGCACGTCTTAGGTATTGCTCTACTAACGTGATTCTGCCGAGAATGGCCAGCTCGATGGCAAGGTCAATCAGTACGACCCGCACAATCAATTGAGGAAAATGCTTTGGCAGACTGCAGATCATCTTGCACTGTTGCCCATCCCGAGTCGATCCCTGGAAGGATAGCAGCTGATCCGTGCAGAAGCAACAACTACTTCATAGTCATCGGTGATTGGGGAAAGGCTTTAGATGCCGGGGGGTCACGGGCTGAGCGCCGCACTAGAAGCGAACTTTCGCTTGATTGGCTCGGGCGTCTACTCAGGCCTGGCAGTTGCCAGCTGAAAGTGGCAGATTTGGTGAAGAGCGTGACCCTGAGTCAAAACAGACTTCTGCCACCAGTTGCACTGTGGAAGCAGAGGCTATGTCCGAGCACAAAGACAGGCAGCGTGCCCTTCTGGTTTTCCAAGAAGAGCTTGGTTTTGCAACGTAAGGCCGGCAAGACTTTGCTCTTCATTGCTTCAGCAGCAGACTCAGCGGTTGTGTGGAGTGGGCTTGCCGGTGTGGCAGTCGCACGGTATTGCAGAGCATTGGCGACTTGACGCCAAGTTGTAACGTGCTGTGCTCGCCCCACCTCTTGGCGCACACCGCATTGTAGGATGGATGCTGTCTCTACAACGTACACGCTGCCACGGGACTCGAGGTTGGAGACAACTTCTATTGGACTGGGGTCACGCCAGAGGCTTCCTTGTCTAGTTTGAGGCCAAAACAAAGCCATTCGCCACGGCAGCAGCTTTGTGCCAGGCATGGAAAGTGGCCTGGGCCGAGCAGGGACCCCTAAAGAGTCACCAGGGGATCTTTAGGGCAAAGCTAGATTCGCTGTCGGCAGTCCTGGAAAACAGAGCTCCGCCTCAGGCCATATGGCGTCAATGATCAGGCCTCACCGCTCTTTCAGGCACGAAGAGATGCGCGATGAGAGCGCTCAGACTCAGAGCACAACTTGGCCTTCTACAGGGCTGGGGCCCTCTGCAGCATGAAACGAGTGCAAACATCCAGTGCCTTCTTCCTGGTTCCGCTTCGCTTTGCGGCTTTCTCTGCCGCTTGCTTGACTCTCGTAAAGCAGAGCAGACCAGCCTGAGAACCTTGTGTTCTGCTAGCACCCGGCCCTTGGAAGAAGTGGCAGTCTAGACGTTGAAAGTCACCTGGTAATTACGGGTCCCCGAAGTGAACGCGACAGTACATAGACCTCGCGTGGTTTGTCCGAGATGTCGAAGCACGTCTTGGATTCCAAGACCTCCCATGCAGCGTCGACATACAAAAACACTAACACGGCAACAGGCAAGAGTTCAATGCCCCCTTGTTCGTGGCGACATTCGTGCAGAGATGTTTTGGAAAAACTTTCGTCACAAAAGGTTGCACCGGTGGCACACCTTTGTTTGGGGTCAGATCTACGGGCTTGGCTCTTGGCTTTGGATTTACCGATGCTGAGACGAGTCAGCTCAGGCGAGTGAATGGCCTCATCAGAGTGGGACATAGATAAGCTAGCACGCCTGCATGGATTTTTGCAAGAGTACCACCTAAATAAGTGAAGACACGCTCAAATTTCGAGGCATGTCTGTACACGGTCCTGTGCCCATGTTCATCCCCTGAACCTGATGTGACGGTTTGACTCTGTCTTCGGCAGTGCGAGTTGAGCTAAAAGTCGTTGACCAGGTTCCCTGGCTGGCAGTCTATGGCAACCACGATTTTGGTAGCCATGATCCATATGCGTTTTGTCCACATGCCATGGCCTTAATTGCACAAGGCGCAACAACTCAAGCGGCCTGTGTCGTATGCCGTGAGGTACAGCCGAAGCATATTCTGGGCTTTCAGGCCGCGGTCTCTCCTACCATCCCTAGCTGTCGGCGTAGTACATCCTGCATGTTCAAAGGCTTACTCGGGCAATCAACTCAACAAGGACTTTTGCACAAGCTCTCGCATGCAGCTTTTGCCTGAATCGCAAGCATCAGCCGCAGGATCGCAATCCCCATCGCCCAGAGTGGACAAGGCAGCTAGCAAGAAAGATGGACCGTTTTCGTGCCGCTAGCGTAACTCGAGCCCACCTGTTTTCTGGGTCCTACGTTTCTCTTTTTTTCGTCGGGTCTACCAAGCTTCTACAGGCAGTTCTGGCTTCCCGACTACAACTATCACTACGAGATCCCAGATGCCGACTTGGAGGTGCAGCGTGACGCGGTGTTCTTAAAGACTCAGCACAGGCCAGACTGAAACCAAGAAAGGTCATTGCGGTTGACACAAATGGCGCGGTGGATGCCAACGGCCAGCTCCTAATGGATGGCGCGATTGGCGGAGACGCGCCGAGCTCTTAGAGCGAGAGCAAACGAGCCGGGAAAGAGCCACACAGATGACACGATCGACACGAATGAAATGACGCCGAGGAGAGGTCGGCGGTGTGCTGACCATCTTTGCGGAGGCCGGAGGATGTGTTTTGCTGTGGCCCGCTCTGCGGCGCATCGAGAAGCCATCCGGAGTTCCTTTCGTTATGGACCAGGTCACAACGTTTCCCAAGACTTCTTGCGCAAAGTCGCAAAAGCAAGCAGCTCAGAAACACGTCCAAAACTCGGGGCATTTTAAGCCACACGTCTCTACGTTTGGATGAGGCTGGTCAAGAACTCGTAAAAGAGCGGGCCAAGAAGAACACCGCTCCTCGCCTGCTCTGCCGATCTCGGGATCTCGACTTTGGTGCCGCGACCGGTTCAGGTTGGCACAGTTCTGCTCATCCAGCACTATCCGGGCCTTTGCCCGCGAGCCATTTTTGAATTAGTCCCAGCCTCGGTGGAAGCCATGACTCATGACATTTGTTGCGCGTGAACCTCCAGAGAGGCGCTACCGCCTCAACGCAGAGGGAAGGCTGGGATAAATTGGCGCCGATATGGAGAGATGACGCTTTGCTCTCCGCAGCGTTGAAACATGCATGATGACTGCAGGTGTCCGAGGCTAATGCAGGTAGGATCTTGATCCGGCCAGCAGCTGGGAAGCTAACGTACAACATTCTTTGCGGCCAGGATGTTCAACACGTTGATTGGCTGACTTGCATGTGTCCGTAGGAGCGCAGTCAATGCAGGCCAGCTTGCTTAGAGCAGACATCAGGGAGTGGGTTGTGTGAGCTGCGGCTATGGCTCTCACCATCGACCTGGAGTCGCTCCCAGTGCTGATCGTACCCGGCAAGCACAGGCTCCTTCTGAAGGACCTGCTTTGCGTGTCCGGCATTTTAACGAACGGCATTTCAATTTTTGAAATCTGATGGCGCAGGACTTACAACATGTAAGAATACAGGCTTCCGGCAATCGGAAGGATTGGCAGACGCCAAGTGCTCAATGAGCTGTGAATCGCAGTTGCACTTCACATCTGACAAAGTACTTGGAGGTTGTATGTGACGGAGACTGCCATGTTGCGTCAGTGCGCAGATCATGCCACGACACCATACCGTAAGTTACAACCACTTGCAAGGACTCGCAAGCTCGCTAGGTACCTCAATGAGGCTCCTGACAAGAAGTCTTGGAAGCCTCCGCTGAGCTCGTGCCGAATTGGCTTCAATGACAAGGGAGTCTTCCTGCATGAGGACCATGGAGTAATTTGCGAGCACGACATCCTGCCGGTTGATGTAGATTGCATGCCGGGTTCAGGATCATGTCAAGCGATATTTTGGTTTGCTCGAGAGTGCTGCACGACATCTGGTGCCTGCAGCGCAAGCCCTGGTGCCGGCAGCAGATCTTGTTCGTGGCACTCTTGCAGTATCTTGCAGTGGTGGGCTGCGTTAGGGCCACAACTCAGGTTGAGACACAAGAGGCAATCCCAAAGTATTACCGAAGCCAGAATTGACGCCTGCCTGCATGACAAGTGATCCGAGGCTGTTTGCGACATGCCAAGTGAAGCCTGCTCAATGCCAAGGCCACGAAATGATGGACTCCCTTGCGGCCAAGGTGCAAACAGTTACTGACGACATGAGGAAGCAGGCCGATACAGAATTGATTTTATAGAGTTTGTTTTTGCTATCAGATACAGGTGATGGATAATATGCAGGTGGTGCAGTCTACATTCCGGGCTGCTGACACCAATGGCAATGGCACCCTCAGTGCCACGGTGGCAGTATTCCACAAAATCCTGCTTGCTCCATTCTCCCGTTTTCCAGGCAGGCACGAGATTGGTTCGCTCATGCGGCGGCTTGTGCGGGACTTGATACGAGTTGCAGTCTCAGTCACGTGATCGAGCTCAGCCGAGGCGGTGTCGGTGACGGCTCAGGAGATAGACACCTTGATGAAGGAGGTCGGCCCGTTGGGGCTTAGGGTGCTGGGCCCTTGCACGGTGCCACTTCAAGTTGGAGGCCGATGTGAATCGGGATGATCAGATTGACTACGAAGAATTCGCGGTCTCGGTCTCGGGATGAAAGCATCGAGTTCCAGCCGACCGTAGAGGTAGCGATTAGCTCCACAGAGGTAAATGAGTTTTGTTGTCGGGCCGAGTCTCGAAGTGTAGTTGGAAGCTGATGCTTTGGCCGAGACCTGGATGCTGATAACCAGACGCGGGTTGATCAGCGCCAAGTTGACGGAGGATCTAGGCCCTGCACAGATGCTGACATGCCGCTCCTCAGTTATCCACAGAGCCTGGACTTCTCAGGCAGTGCCGCCGATGTCGTCAGGTCAGTTAAGCTCTGCTTTTCTAAATTTCTAGTCTGACTGATTCATCAGTGTCAGAGAGAACCAGCATTTGGACAGGGCATCATTCCGAGTCTGGGATTCCAACGGCAATGGCTTGATTTCCAAGGCACGGTCGTTAGCTGTACGGTTTTATGCTTTCGACTAAGGTTGCTCTGAGATGCAGCCTGGTGTATCTTGCCACATAGCAGCACGAAACATGTTCCTTATGTTCCAGGCAGAAGTCCGGAAGTGACACGGATGCACTTTAAGCTGGAAGCTTCTGGGGGGGTTGTTGTTCTCTTGGACCGAGCCATTTTTTGGGAGAGAGAGAGAGAGAGAGGCGGCAAGACAGGGGTGCAAACACGAGGGGTGGGGGGGCGAACAGAGAATGAGAGGCAAACGTTTACGCAGCAATCCAAAATATGTTCAACATGAAAGGCATGGCTGTCTTCGTCGTAGCTCAGGGCTTTCAGCCTGTGGAGGCTACCTGGCTCTTGACAGTGCTAGGTTGCCACACATAGTGCAAAGCCTCGCTCACTGGGAAGCCTCCCCCAAACACACAGTTTTTTCAAGCTGTGCAAGCTAGCACCACATCCGCATGGATTCACAACCCGCATGAAGCCTGCTGAAGCATGTCATGCTAGCATTGTGTGCAACACTGCCTTTATTCAAGCCGCACCGCATTTTTTCCTTCTTCCTTTAAGCCGTTTCCCGTTTTTCCTGATCAAACGACGCGGTTTCACAATCGAGATGAATCCATGTAATTTCTTCAAAACTGTCATGTGACCCCCTCTCTCTTGGTCGTGCGCACTCAGCATCTGCAACCCAAGCACTCCAACCCCGTCCCCAACAAGAAGCGCACCAGCAGATTCTGCATGTTATCATGCTCTGAGATTTCAAGCCCAGAAGGCAGCTTCTGGCTTCTGCTTCTATGCCACGCGACGCTAATCACTCAGGTTGTTGCTGCAAGCATGCAAGATGAATGCAAAGGTCCGGCGCCGTGCAGTGCAGCAGCTCTCATCAGTTTGATGATGTATCACACGTTTCATATGACCTTCAGGATGTTGAGATTCTGGCAGAAGTCATGGACACCGATGACGATGGTTCAAGTCCAAGCGGCGTGTGATTTTGGATTTATGATATCGTCTAATGATCGCTTATAGCAGGTCAGATCGACTACGACGAGTTTGTGAGTTTTCTGTTTCCTCGGACCGAGTGAGGGACGGAGCCCTTCCTCATGTGTGATAGTGATTCTGTTTCAGACCGCCAACAGGCCTTTGTCCGATTCTGCGGTACCAAAGTTATACTGCAAAGCAGTACCAAGCATCCAAGACTATTTCGAGCTGCAAAGCAGCATCCAGCGTTCGACCCGGTGGAGAGCCACACAACTCTGCAAGTTCCGACTGCCGCAACATTCTGTTAAGTCGGGGGTCGTTGTGGACCAGTTTGCTCCAGGTAAAGGTCATCTGCGCCTACGGCCATGTCCATGATCAAAATTGCGATGTGTCCCGCCGTACCTGATTCACTCACGGCGGATTGTTGCCTGGCAATGCAGCCATTGTATGCCAGGAGGGACGAGAATGGCCTTTGCATCGAGATCCTGTCTGGTGGCGGAGGTGGTTGTTGTGGCGCTGAGGCTACCGCACGGTTGTAATTCATTTTTTTGTGTGCATGGGCTGCAAGTTGTAACTTCCAGCCTGGGAGTGGAAAGCATGTTAGGGCAGCTTCATACAGTAGCCACGTTCACAAAAGAACAACCACATTCCAGAGCTTGTCACGAAACTGCCGATTCGGCAAGGGCCGCACATGGCTGAACAGTTGCCCAACATGGCCCAGCATGAAGTATGCACACCACCACGCATCCTAGCAGAAAGCTTGCTCCCCTTTTCTGCAGGTAAACCAGGCTGGCTTCAGCGTGGTGCACTTGGATGACCGCGGCGGAGTGGCTTCAGTCGATGTTGAAAGCCCAGAGGCAGGGCTTGTCGCCTGCTAAGTGTCTTGATCGGCGCCTTCTTCACTGGCAGGTGCTTGTGCCGCTCCATTCATGCATTTGGTAGCTAGCTGCTGGGTGCAATAACCAGACCAATTCGTTGCAATGTTTCGACGAGGAACTGCCACCGAGCCGTTCTCATACTCATTTGGCAGCATACGATTTCAATTGCCTCTGGTAGAGCTCTGCAACTTTGCAGGCTTCTTCACAGAACTCCTCTTGATGATTGAAAACAAAAGTTACATCAATACGGAGCTTCCAGGAACTGTAGCCACATACAGCATGTTTGTGCTACGCATGTATAAACGGTTGTGCGTTCTGCGCCGCCCCCCCTTCGCCCCCCGTCCCCCATGGTATGGGTCTCAGATACAAGGACCTGGAGCCTTAAGTTCAAGAAGACAGGACAGCACACACGGCTCCAGATGGAGAAGAAAGGGAAACCAAGTCCTTTAGAGGCAGGGGGCAGGGGTTCTCCTTCGTCATCTGGGCCGCAGATTCGGATGGAGAATCACAGAACCACAGAAGCTGGCCGTCCCGTTCCGGGGGGAGGGAAATACATCATGATCGATGTACTCTTGTAGATGACATGAATCATGTGGCGGGGGAGGGGGAAGGGCACATGGATGCAGAACCGCAGAACCCCGAGCCGCAAGAGAAGGAAGGATATTCCGTGCCACAGGCGGGAAAGAAACATACATCGTCACGCCTGTGTGATTGTATATAAAATGAACCATATATGGGTGGTTGTCAAAATTACGGTCCTTTTTTGGATACCTTAAATGATAGGTTTCGTATTATAATAAGGAACCAAAAAGGGACCTTAATTTTGACAACCACATATATATATATATATATATATGGGACACGCACTCCGCGGCCCCCCCCTCCACCCATGGTCTATGGTCCAGGATGCCCCTCCTCCCCGCTGGGGGGTGAAGGGATCGCACTATGGCTTTTCGGGTAAATGAATTGGCGGAAATAAATTAAATAAAGATTTGGTCAATATAAGAATTCATAAGTAAAATCGTAGCCCTCCTAATCTCCCCCGATGATCGTTGATTCAGAATAGGAGTTCATATCTCCTATAATACTATAATTTCACTATTAGATTAATATTAGAATTCAGAGATAAAGACATATTCTTCTTAGATAAATGAATCAGAATCGACATTTCAATATAGATGATTAATATTCTTCATATTCTAGTATAGATGACGAGCATTCTATATGTTCTAAAATAAATGAATCGAATCTTTCATATTCTAATATAGATATATCGAATATTTTGACGTTCTAATATAGAAACGATATTCTTTATATATAATAGTTTCTAAGAATTAATTTCCGAAATAGTTATCATCTTATTAATAA